AACAGACCTTACTTAAAAAATACCCCTTGTATGTTTAGATATTTAATAAAGTCTTTATATCATTATTTTTATGTTTTCTTTTCTAAGGTAGTATTTTACTATTGTCCAGTCTATCTGGAGTTTCCTTCTCTGCTGAGGTGTTGCCATTAGGTTAGTCAGTCTGTCCATGTTCATGATCTCCATCAATTTCAATAGCCATTGGTCCATCGAGGGTGTTTCTTCATTTTTCCAGTTTTTTGCGTAAATTATTCTGGCAGCTGTTGATAAATAATTGAACAGGGGTTCTTTCTTTTTGTCCTTTTGGAAATTTATCATTCCCAGTAAATAACATTTTGGGTCTAATTTAAAGTTAGTTTGTAATATTTTCCGCGTTCTTTCATGTATTTCCCTCCAAAATTCCTTAGCCTTATCACAAGTCCTCCATAAATGATAAAAAGTGCCCAATTGTTTTCCACATTTCCAACATTTATTTGTCATATTTTTGTAACTTCTGGCTAAGATCAAGTGTAGTATCTGTGTTTATCTGTTTAATATCTGGTACGTCCTCTAGTTGAGTAGTTGTTTCTAAAAGCTGCTCGTGCATCGGAAATTGTGTTGTCTCCAGAAAGGAAGTAAGCCTCATGCACAAATATCATGCGTAGAGTTTTCCTGTGATTGGGAGCAGACTGGTTGGGAGCAGTTCCCAGGTTCACTGGTCGGTCCATAGGTTTAAGCCAATTCCATAGTCTTAAAATTATTTTTTCAGTTGTTTGTCTTTTTGAGGGAACTAGGAAGTGTGTTTCTATAAGAAATGGCTATCTATTAATGTCCCTCACATGAATTCAGTGGTGGAAGAGAAAAGGCATGGTCGTATTCTATTTTCTGTGTACTGATATTAAACCTGTCGCTTGAAATTCATAGCATCTAAATAGGACCTGAGCCTGAGGAAGATTGAGAAGAACCTAACTTGTCAGCTATAAAGATGGCAAGCAAGGGTCATGCTCATGTTTTCAAACTAAAGCTAGTGATCATTCTAAGTTGAAAATACTGTGGATGTAAGCAAACTGGCTTTATACTTCCTCTGACTCAAAATGGATAGTTACACAGAAGGGTCGACTCTTAATTTCACCTTGACAAAATGATATTTCTCTTTTTTTTTCCTCCTCCTGGACAAGACCACCATAATTGAAATAACAAAGATTAAGTTCAATTGATAGACACTGATAACAAGGAAATAGCATTTATTTTTCATCGGGCCTGGAGAATATTGCCACAGGAATGCTGAGAAGGCAGGAAAAAGGGGCCTGGAAATAAGATTAATGATCGCGGAGCTAAAGAATGTTATCTTGGCTCTATATAAACCTGCTTGGGAATTGACAATAGAAAGGGGAAAGATTAATGAAATCTTCCAAAGTTTTTTTTTTCTTATGAGACTTATATAGATCAGAAGCCTTTGGCTCTGAGGAGTGAGTGGTTGATTATTTGGACAAATTGGAGGGACCTCAGGCAAGCGAAATGAAAAATAGAGAGAGAATGAATAGTTGGGTACCTTTTGGATTCAGGATAATATGATAAAGGGATCTTCTATTTGCACACTGCTGAAGATGCTTTGACACTATTTTTCCCCATGTTCGATATTTAAATCAGAATAGAGGGCAGACGGGGAAGCCCTGTGTGAGTAGACTTTGACACAATGGCAAAACTCAAAAGTAAGCCAGCAAAAAATACTATTTTCATCCGATTGGGAACTGCATTTAAATCAGCCAGACAACACATAAAAAACTAGAGTAGCAGCACCAAGACCATTATTGTTACACATGAAAATATGGAAGAACACACAATGTTTGTACATCTGTGTGAGATGTACCTTCAAATCAACTCCAACATTATCCTCTGGCCCTCTGCTAGAATTTTCTCGATGTGATATATTCCAAGGAGACTTGCCATTGCCTTCCTCTTGGGTTGAGAGAGCATGAGTTCACCACCATGTCTTGCAGGTTTCCATTGCTGAGGGGGGTTCAAAACCCTGTCACCTGGAGTCCTACACCAACACACAAACTTCTGTCTCTCAATATTTGTCTTGTTGTGTATCCTTCCTTCTGACTTATGTCATATTCCTACATTCATGCCATTGCACCATGCAGGCTCTCAGTATTTGTATAGAATGTCAAATATTCAGTAATTATTAACTCATCCTTTGAAAAACACCTTATAAAGTAAATCAGAATGACTGTCCTAATATTCCATACCAGGAGAATGAGGCTTAGTTAGATCAACCAGATCAGTTCTTGACAGAGGCAGGATTCACACTGGAAATATTATTATTGTCATCCTCATAATCCTCATATTTATTTATATCCTGCTGTTAATTCTTAGTTCAGCGTTCTCAACACTGGGGGGGTCGCGAGGGGGTGTCAAAGGGGTCGCCATAGACCATCAGAAAACACAGTATTTTCTATTGGTCATGGGAGGTCTGTGTGGGAAGTTGGACCCAATTCTGTCGTTGGTGGGGATCAGAATGCTCTTAGATTGTAGGTGAACTATAAATTCAAGCAACTACAATTCCCAAATGTCAAGGTCTATTTTCCCCAAACTCCACCAGTGTTCTGAGTATTCGTGCCAAGTTTGGTCCAGATCCATCATTATTTGAGTCCACAGTGCTCTCTGGATGTAGGTGAACTACAACTCCAAAACTCAAGGTGAATGTCCACCAAACCCTCCAGTATTTTCTATTGGTTATGGAAGTTCTGTGTGCCAATTTGGTTCAATTCCATCATTGGTGAAGTTTGGAATGCTCTTTGATTGTAGGTTAACTATAAATCCCAGCAACTACAACTCCCAAATGAGAAAATCAATACCCCCAACTCCACTAGTATTGAAATTTGGGCTTATCCCAAATTTGGTCCAGTGAATGAAAATACATCCTGCATATCAGGTATTTATATTACGATTCATAACAGTAGCAAAATTACAGTTAAGAATGAAAATAATTTTATGGTTGGGGGTCACCACAACATGAGGAACTGTATTAAAGGGTCACGACATTAGAAAGGCTGAGAATCACTGTCTTAGATTGAGACCAAAGTGGCTTGCAAGCTCCTTATAGATCAGTATGTATTATTTTTTTAACTGATGGTTCATGTTGTATGGTAAAATGTTGCTGTTCCCCATCTCGATCCATAGGGAGAGGCGGGTAGGGACTAAAAAGAATAACAGCAATAACAACAACAGTAGCCTGAAGTGATTGTGTCATTGATCCCCACTGCAATATATTTGTGTTGAGTCCAGCTGACAGTGATAATGCAATACTTTGGTTGGTGTAGGGTTTTTTGGGCTATATGGCCATGTTCTAGAGGCATTCTTACCTGATGTTTCACCTGCATCTATGGCAAGCATCCTCAGAAGTTGTGAGGTCTCACAACCTCTGAGGATGCTTGCCATAGATGCAGACAAAATGTCAGGAGAGAATGCCTCAAGAACATGGCCATATAGCCAGAAAAAACCTACAACAACCCAGTGATTCCAACCATGAAAGCCTTCGACAATGCAATACTTTCATTGTGACTCTTATGTATGTGGTTGTAACACTGGGTGGAAAAGGCTCCAGCATGATGGCATCCACACTGTAACATGAAATGGGGTTCATTTCCAAATTACGTAACCATCTTAGTCTGTTGCACTGCAGAGAATGTGAAATCCTGTGGTTTCTGAACGGCAAATACAGCTATTATGGTGTCAGCTTCCATGGGGCTCTGGCCCTCTTCACCAGATGCACGGCGCATGTGTGTTTAAATACAGATGGATAAATGTCAGGCTGTAGCCTTCGCAACACGGCTGCTCTCAAAGTCTCCCTTATTGCCTGTTGTGGCAGGAGAGGAGGATTAAATTACAGGGGCTGTCAGAAAGGACAAGCGCTCTGCCATACATTATCGCTATCACGGGCTTTCACCAGGGTGAAAGAAACCACCGTAAATCCCTTCCATTGCAAAGCAATAAAAGCCACTGGCTTTTACAGGCCTGACTGCCAGGGCCATTAACAGGAAATGACAGCTGTGTGGCATTCGGAGATGCTGCCCGTATCTTTTCCGACAGTGTGCGGCATAAAGCTGCCAGCAATATGACAATTGGATCACGGTTCCCACTTCAGTTCTGGTGTTTGACGTCGATATCCTTTTAGGAAATACTGAAAGAGACCATTCCTCCTTTCCCATCTTCCCATTACCTTCTTTTCTCCTCCCCCTGCCTAAATATGGTATGTTTAGGCTTAAATAATGAGCAAGTCATTTTAAAAGTAGGCCTGTTCACACACTTTAGACGCAAAACTAAAAAAAAAAAATGAGCTGGGAATCAGAAGAACACAATGTCAAAAGAACACAATGTCCTAAGTGCCCCAATGATCAAACTTTTAACAAACTTCAACTTTATTATTATTATTATTATTATTATTATTATTATTATTATTACTACTACTATTACTATTACTATTACTATTTTGAACTGTGGTATTGGAGGACTTGCTCTGAGAGTGCCTTGGACTGTTTTTCAGTGTTTTTAGGAGTGATGGTCACTCGTTGACCTGATAGGTATATTGTGTCCAAATTTGGTCTCAATTCATCCAGTGGTTTTTGAGTTATGCTAATCCCACAAATCCCATTACATATTTATTTATATAGATTGTGTGAGTGTTCGTAGCCCATTGCATTAAAAACATTACATTTTTATTTATATAGATATACACAAATATATACACACACAAAACACATATACACAGACTGGGCCACAGCAACACATGGCAGGGGACAGCAAGTAATAAATAAGATTTCAATTGACTCTTTATTGCTTTTGCTGCAACAGACTACCACAGCTCCCTCTTGGAAATGAGAAGCTAATATTTACCCCTGACTCAAATCCAAACACAAGGAAGTCGCTTTGAAAATCAGTGATTCACAAAGCAAATGTCTTCACGGTATTTGCTTGTGGCCAGTTGGAACCAGCCATTTCTTATAGACTTCTCTTTGCAGTCATGCACCTGGATCAAGCAAACAACAAAGCAAGGCGAGATGTCCTCAAAACCATGCTTCGGGGAACTGAGCCCAGCCCTGGAAGGTACGTTTAGAAGCTAAGTACGTCAGGACACTTTGACTGACGCTCCTTACCATGCAAATTAATTTATAATTGGATCTGAAGGGAGAGGATAATGAATAAATGAATGCATAAATAATTGAAAGCTTGCCGGTTCTTTTGCAAAAGTAAGTAGATCCAACAGTAGGTATCAGCATTATCAATTTGTATTTCCATATGCAAACATCCTCCCTATAGAAGGGAGTTTGTTTTGTATTCTCCCATGTTTGTTTGAAGATCACATGACTTTAATGATTTTTTTTACAGCAACAGATATTTCCTATTTTGTTTTACCTAAGTAGAACAAGGTTGTGCAAGCACTTTCCAAAAATGCAGGCGGGATGAAATAGCATTGAACCTCTGGAAGCTTCTGCATATTTGTCTGTTTTTAGAATGTATTATTTATTTATTTTGTTTACGGCATTTATATGCCTCCGTTCTCACGAGAAGGGGACTCAGAGTGGCTTACAAGATGTGTACGTGTGTGTGTGTGTGTGTATACATACACACACACACACAATATATTATATTATTAGCATAGTACAATATCAGTATTAAATATTACTATATTGTACTATATCATTATATTGTAATATTAGTAATATTACATGTAATATAAATATATAATTATAATATCATATTATTAGTAGTAGTAGTAGTATTATATTGCATTACATTATAATATTATAAATATTGTATCTATATACAATATATTATATTACATTGTATTATATTATTAGAATAGCACAGGAGACAAGGTGGAACTGTCTTCCTGGCCCCCTCTCTCTTCACTCTGGCCCAGAGCGGCAGTTGGTACTGTGGGGAGGGGTCCCCAACTGATGACATATGCAGGATACAAGATGGAACTGTCCCCTGGCCCCCTCTCTCTTCACTCTGGCCCAAAGCAGCAGTTGGTGCTAGGGGACGGGGCCCCAACAGATGACATATGCAGGAGACAAGATGGAACTCTCTTCTTGGCCCCCTCTCTCTTCACTCTGGCCCAGAGCGGCAGTTGGTGCTGGGGAGAGAGGTCCCCAACTGATGACATATGCAGGAGACAATATGGAACTGTCTTCCTGGCCCCCTCTCTCTTTACTCTGGCCCAAAGCAGCAATTGGTGCTGGGGAGAGGGGTCCCCAATTGATGACATATGCAGGAGACAAGATGGAACTGTCCCCTGACCCCCTCTCTCTTCACTCTGGCCCAGAGCGGCCCAGAGCGGCAGTTGGTGCTGGGGAGAGAGGTCCCCAACTGATGACATGTGCAGAAGACAAGATGGAACTGTCTTCCTGGCCCCCTCTCTCTTCACTGTGGCCCAAAGCAGCAGTTGGGGCTGGGGGAGGGGTCCCCAACTGATGACATATGCAGGAGACAAGATGAAGCTGTCCCTTGACCCCCTCTCTCTTCACTCTGGCCCAGAGCGTCAGTTGGTGCAGAATGGGCAGATCAATAAATACTTTTGACAATGAAGGGACTTTTGATAAGCTGCATAATTCTTCTCCCAAATTCATGGAGAGAACTTTTTGATTTTAAGATCCATGCCCTTTTAATCTCAACTCGAATGGCTGCTGATTCAATGAAAAGTGTAAAAGCTGCCAATCAGCTTTTCACACTCTTCAGTTAGCCACATATTTACAAATAAGCTTTGCAGACCTGAGAGTAGTTCTTGGCAATAAGACCGTAATCTCTGTTTCCTCCATTTTCCTTTAAAATTGAGCTTCATGCGTTGGCCGGTTTCACAATTTTTAATGGAATCCGACAGGAAGTTCCATAAAGTGATCCCTTAAGAGCAGGCACGTATCACATCTAAAGCACTTTGATGTTCAGAAACATTTTTTCCCTTTCTCATTTCAGCAAACAAGCAAAAGACTTCCAGATTTACTGCATACATTAGTAAGATGGATAACATGCTGGTGCTAGCAAAGCTACAAATAAAATTACATATTTCCCAACGGTGCTATATTCTGTGGCACAGGCCATTGTTTTGTAGGACGTACCAAAGGCTAGTGACTTGGGCAAAGTTGAAATTCCTTGCAGGTTCACACACTGTAGTGCTATAGAGCATAGATTTAGCAACGATATAGCATTTTAGAGTTCTAATTCAATAGGTAAAAGAGCTGAAAACATTATATCATTCTCTTTGAATTCAGTGGGCCCTGACGACTTCATCCCACATAGTCCACTTTCCGTCTCCTCTCCATTTTAACACGCAGGCAAAACGGAAATCCTAAGGTAGCAATTTCATGGCGCACAACCACTTTCAGTGGCTGCCCAGGGGAATCAGTGTTGCCAGTGTGTTAAAATGGACAGAATACTCTGTTTTCAGGAGTGTTACCCGACTCGTGACTCAAATGAAATACGGAGGAAGCAGGGGAAACACGGAGAAGGACGAGGAATGGCTGGCTTTCTAGAACAGTGGTTCCCTACCTTTTTTGACTAGAGACCACTTGACCAGGGACCACTTCATAGAGGGAGCCCTTTGACCATGGACCACTCTCCAGCATTAGTACCAAAAGGTTTACCGGGCACCACTTTGATCGGGAGCCACTTTGACCAGGGACCACTCTCCAACATTAGTACCAAAAAGGTTATGAATCCGTTTTTGGTCAACTTTAGGTTCGGTTTGGTTATTTTGGGTGCTGATTCAGAAAATTGCATTGGACAGATGACATCAACTCTAGTTTTTGATACAGAACATATGCCATCCAGTAGTCACCATATGCTCTCCCACAGAAAACCATATTTAATAATTGAGAGCTGATGTGGTCTATCCAATGCTATTTTCTGAATCAGCACCCCAAGTAATCCCAGGAACAGGCCTAAAAACGAAGACACCAAAGCACCACCGCTTTCAGGCGTTACATGCAATTGCTCCACTCAGGGGGAGAAGCAGCAGTCAAGATGCTTGTTCTTGTACCTTTTGTGAGTAGTCAGCTCTCCCCTTTTGATTTCCCCATTGCCTCAGCAATATAAGAGGATTTTGCGAGACCAGTTGTTCTCGATGCAACAGTGTAGTAACGGTGAGGCCATGGACCATATTTTAGTTCTTGGGGACCACTGGTGGTCTGTGGATCACCGATTGAGAACCACTGATCTAGAATATGGGGAAAAATGGTAGGGAACAAATTAAAACGGTTCCCTCCACTTTCTCCTGCTTTCCAGTTGACAATGTGACAAAGTCCTGAGTCTCACACATGTAGCAAGTGTCAAAATCATAAAGAGGAAATGAGCCATCATTTCTGACACCCTTCTTGATGCGGGATCTCCAGCAGGTAGCTGTCCAACATCTTTTTGAAGACATCCATGGGAGGAAAAACCCACCACTTCTCTGAGCAGTTGGTTCCATTGCCAAACTGCTCTCTCTTGTCAAGAAGTACCTTCTAATATTCAGTCAAAATCTCCCCTTTGTGGAGTTCATCAAGTCAAAGCCCATGCATGAAAACAAACATCCATTTTCTAGCATTCTACTATTAATTTGTCTCCATCACCCATCTGAAAATGTCCAAGAGAAGTCTATATCTTTATCGGGTAGCAGATTCCCTTGCTGAATTGTTCATTACATGTAACAGCCCAAAATAGTTAGTTGTGCTTAAATCTCATGTTTTTTAATGGGACATAATTTTAGGCATGTGTCAGAGGCATTTTCTACATATGCTCATGATTATATCCCCTTCTCCCAGATCCATTTGAAAGTAGTGTATAATCAGAAAAATAAATAAATGATCAATTTAATATACCAACTGGAGTAAAAAAAAATCACTGTACTTAATTTGCTGAGTTTCACTTCTTATGACTGACATCTGAAATATGTGGCAATAGTTTACATTTTTTGTCACTTCCACTTGTTTCTCTTAAGAGTGAACTCATCTAGTTCCTTCAACTAATCTTGATAAGATTTGATGGCTAGACGCTCATGATCACTCTTACTTCTTCTATGTCCCTGCCAACATGCATTGGAGATATGTCAACTACATGTTGAGCGCATGTTTCCATTCAAGTTCAATTCCTAACACTTCCAGTTAAAAACATACGTTTAACTGGATAGGGAATAAATCTGGAGAGCCCTAACAGTCAGAATAGATAGTCCTGGGATGGATTGATCAATGATCTATTCACTTTAAACCATCCTAATATCTTACTGTATTGTGGTGAACATATCAATACTTGAAGTGGGAGCTCTTAAATGCTAAGTTGGACCCATCCCAAATCAAGACAAGTTGCTATATTATTTACTAGATCAACGGAAGCCATTGTTTATTTCAGGAAGACTATAAATGCTGAAACCAATCTGGGTCTTCCCAGTGGTTGATCCTTTACTATTAACAATAGACATTTTAAATCTTATTACGGTCGTATTTTGTCTCTCATCTTTCTGCCACCACCATTGTTGGTGGCCCCACAAGCTTCCTTGAAATTGAAAGACATCTGAAAGAAGTTCAGAATTGAACAAAAAATATTCTATGTCACTTCTAACTTAATGATTCTCTGAAGCTTCCTCTGCAGCATCACATTGTGGAATTCTCTTTGACATTGATATTTTTATAGTCTTTATTTTACTTTATTTTTTTTGTCAAGCAAAACATACTTGACAACCTGCTAAAGCCAACATTCCATGGTCTGGCGAGACCTTCCCAATTGTGGAGTTGGCTCAGGTGCCAAGGAAAGTAATCACTTGCATGTGTCTCCATCTTTTGGGCCCTTCCCTCTTTTCAAGTAAACACATACAGGCCCATAGTAGTGGGAAGTGGGTTATTTGTCTGCTCATTAAAGGATAATGTACATTTAAATTTTACCCTTCCATGCTGTATCTTAGCACAAGAGGGAACCACAACTTTCAAAAGCATACTTCATTCTAGTTCTTTGTACTTAAACAAATAGCTTTATTGGCAAAACTTGTGCAATGCCTTTTAGCATTATTACTAAGCTGCTTTCTGAATAAGCTTTGAGGAATGTGTACAACTCATTTTATATATTTTATGTACATGTTTGAGACATCTGCTTCAGGATAATATGTATTCATGGAAAGTTGGAGAGATTCCCATATTCAATGGCACAATGAACCTCCATTGATCAAATCTAACCTTTTTTACACCCAAGAATTGGACACAATATTCCAAGGCAGCTCTGACCAAAGCAGAATAGAGTGGCATTACTATTTCCCTTGATTTGGATATTATACTGTTGTTGATGCAGCCCAACATTGCATTGGTTTATTTGGCCACAACATCACACTGTTGACTCATGTTGAACTTGTGGTCTACTAAGAGAATAAAGGATATAATATGAAGTTGCTTTTTTTTAAAAAAAAAGTGTAAGCAACATAATCTTTGGTTTCACTCTAAGATTGATGTATGCTATGTTTCTCCCCATGGCCACCTCAAACCACATCTCAGCTTACGATTCACTATGGTCAGTGACCCTCCAGTGAAGTGACCCTCACTATGATCAGTGACCCTCCTGAAGATGCAACCAACATTGCATTGGTTTCTTTGGTCACAACATCACACTGTTGACTCATGTTGAACTTGTAGTCTACTAAGAGAATAAAGGATATAATATGAAGTTGAGAGCCGTTCAGCAGTGGAACTCTCTGCCCCAGAGTGTGGTGGAGGCTCCTTCTTTGGAAGCTTTTAAACAGAGGCTGGATGGCCATCTGTCAGGGGTGGTTTGAATGCAATATTCCTGCTTCTTGGCAGGGGGTTGGACTGGATGGCCCATGAGGTCTCTTCCAACTCTTTGATTCTATTATTCTAAGAAAATAAAGGATATAATATGAAGTTGCTTTTTTAAGTATAAGCAACATAATATTTGGTTTCACTCTGAGATCAATGTATGCTATGTTTCTCCCCATGGCCACCTCAAACCACATCTCAGCTTACGATTCACTGTGGTCAGTGACCCTCCTGAAGATGAACAAGACCTTGAGTGTGAAGATATTGGCTTTGCATACGTCCGTCTGAGTGAGATATTTCGGAACAGGCAAGACATGATTGAACAAGACATCAAAGGTGGGTTCAGGATGGTTTTTCCATCCCATATATTTTGTTGCCAGCTGTCATTCCTTTCTTAAGGCAAGGGTAGCACTGCAGTGTCTCGACACAGTAGTATCCAAGGATGTCAACATAGATTCATGGGGATCAGCACAAGGTCTCCAGATCAAAGCCAACTGCCACTATCAGGTGCAATCAGACCTCACACCCAGGAAATGCAGATAGTTCTGTGACTCTTCCCACTTCTTTTTATGAGTGTTAGAAGTCCTTTCCCTATCAGTTGAGGTTGACTCAAAGGTTTGGGAAGCCACTGATGTTGCTTCCCCCACCGCCACCACTTCCCTTGTGTTTCTTTTCTAGTTTTCGATTCGCCAGAAGATGGAACGGTAATTGGAAAGCTCAAAGTAACAGTGGAGGCCCTCAATGCTCTGCGCTCCATCCACAAGGAACTAAGAAACAGCCCAGAGGCCTGAAAAATGAGCAGTTGTACCTACAGATGTGCCTTTTCCTAATGTAACCAGTACTGGGTCACTACTGCAAGGCAGAGGGATGCTACAGTCTATTTAATGTATAATTTATATGTAAAAGATGCACAATTTACAGCTTTAAAGTTTATATATTTTCCCTTCTCTCTCTCTTTGTGTGTGTGTGTATGTGTGTGTGTGTGTATATATATATATATATATGTTTTCTCTCTCCTTCCCTTAGGCTACAGCCCCACCCACAGTGGATGCCAGCTTGTAAATAATTAATACCTACATGATTGAATGATGTGCTTTATTTGCATTTTCAACATTTTTTTCTGCCTTACATAAAATATAATAAAAATGCAAGTCAAATTTTTAATTTTTAATAAAAAAAATAAATCTTAAGCCTTAGAAAACTGATTAAAAATACTTTTATGTTATCCCTAATCACCCCGCTAAATGGAATGCCTGCGATTAGCCTCATTAAGAATTTTATACTGTGAAGCTTTTATTAGAAGCAATATATGAAAATTACTTGGATTAATGTGTTAATCTGCCTCTTTAAAATGCTAATATCCATTTTATGCACATTAAATCTCAGTATGCGTTTTCTTTGATGCATGCCGTTTCTATCAATTAAATATAAAGAACGAGACTGGTCCCAAGACTTATTAAATTACGGCAAGCTTTTATAAAAAAAGAAACACACAACTTTTGCCCTTCTGTGAACATTATAATCAGTTGTTTGTGATTATCAAGTTGGAAGGGAGGGTATGGGCTTAAACCGCCTTTTTGTTTTGATGGTAAGAGTGCTTGTGTTTTTATCATCTGTAAGAAAAAAGAGATTTACATATTTCAAATCATAACTATCAAAGTGTGAGATGAAACTGAAAAGATCGATCAGCTTATCTTACACTTAAGGCTCGGCCACGGGGTTCCCCCCCCCAGCTCCCCCCCTCCCTTAAATAATGTTTAAAACTTAAATAAAATCTAAACAATGAATATTTGTATCCTGATAATCAGTGATTGAAAACAGCCTGGAAACTCAATTTTCCATCCTTCCGCCAATGGTAGCGAAGGATTTAATTGATTTTTTTTTCTAATGGAGCCGTGGATCGGCACTACAAAAAGAAATACGTCTGTAGATGAGATTCATAAGTAGGAGCTAACATTTTATTTTTGAATATACACTTCATTGTTGCCTTTTTAGTTTCTTTGAACAGCGTGGCATAAGCAGAGGTATCTCCCTACTGTTTCCAAAACAGGCGATATTTCTTTCGCAAGCATATGTAAAGTATTCAAAAAGATAAGTAATTTATTAAAATCTACCTAATTTGCCGTGATATATTAAATCTCCACTTCAGTGCTCACAGACCATTTCATTTAGAGAATTAGGCATTCCTTCTTTGTGTGATTAAAGCTCTGGAAAATGAGTTCTTTGCTCCTATTTGTGAACATTCAGAGCCTGCTAATGGCAAGAAGATGGAATAGATTATGAGACAATTCATTACAGTTCAACAGAAAGAACAGAGGGGGGAAAAACAGACCAAACGCAAAAAAAAAGTGCCGAAAGTATGAATATCTGCATATAGTTTGAACCATCTGTGCTCGAATGGCTTTAGATACGTCTCTTTGCCGTGAGCAGGCTTTGAAATGGCAGCCATACAATATTAATTTGTTGATGTACATCAAGAGGCCAACAGAATATATATTTGACCACAGAAATCTCTGGATTCTGCCATTAAATTCCCACTCCTTCATTCCGAACCTTAAGGGACCAGGATCTCCGAGGAGCGAACTCGGCAAGTTCTCACAACAATTTATTCCTATGGAACGTTCTAGAAACCGCAGACAGCAACGTTCCAAATCCCTTTCCATTCATTCCCTAGTAAAAGGGGGCAACATGTTTGTGTTCTCACTTGCGCTTGTTCCTTCGCTCATCGTTCTTTTTGGCCCATACTTCCTCGTGTTCTTTGGCTCCCCACCACTGTATTGTCATTAAACCTTGTTATTATACATTACAGTAATTTAAAACAGCTAGATTCAACACCAAGATTAACAAAGTGGCTTTTCAGAAATGGGGTTGCGGTATCGGAGCAGGAGGTTTGTATTATTCACCTAATATTTTGCAACCCAAAACAAAATCTCTTCCTTATAAAGAAGCAAGCCCGGAGCTTGTTTTCTCAACATTTCTTTTGTTGAACTCCGTTGCGGAACTTCGTCACGGAAGCCCTGGAGGACACATTGACCAGGAAGCCAGATAAGAAGTATATTGTCTATTCAAACAGGAACAGAACAGTAACTGGAAACTGGACTTAATCAAGAAATAGTTTTCTTAGATCTACAGAGACACTCGCTGGAACACCTCAGCAAGTGAGAGTTCAAAAGTGGCAGGCTCAAACCCAGCACCTCAATCCGTGGGTGATACCAGATGAGAGACTCCCCCCTGGGCACACAGAAGACTGGGCGACTTGGAAGGCGCTGAACAGACTGTGCTCTGGCACCACGAGATGCAGAGCCAATCTTAAGAAATGGGGTTACAAAGTGGAATCCACGACATGCAAGTGCGGAGAAGAGCAAACCACTGACCACCTGCTGCAATGCAACCTGAGCCCTGCCACATGCACCATGGAGGACCTTCTTGCGGCAACACCAGAGGCACTCCAAGTTTGCAAAATTTGTGTGTTTTTTCTTTTATCTGTTTGTTTGTTTTGTTCTGTTAGAAATGTAATACAATGTTCTGGTTGCGGATGACACGATAAATAAATACCCAGATACAGCTGAATCCAGTGCCATCTTTAGTAATTAATGATACCAGCGCCAGATTACAGAAGCTGGAGCAGATCTTGGAATAGCAGATCTTTCAAGGGTCACCTCCACATTGGGCAGAATACTCTGGGGTGTTACTGCCCCAGATTCAGCTCATACTTTCTAAAGCTGAGGACAGTGACCAAATGGTTTGACCCATCACCATGTTAATAATAAACCTTTATTTATACCCCGCTACCATCTCCCGAAGGACTCAGTGCGGCTTACAAGAGGCCGAGCCCAAATACATCAGTAAAACACAACAACAACAATACAATAATAAAAAACTCATAAACAAAGCAAACAACATAAACAATAATACCGCGGCGCATTAAAACCTGTGGCAGGGCCAAATGTAGTGCTTAAAATCTTTAAAAGTGCTGGGCATGATCAGGTGGAATAGGATAAATATTTTAGGGATAGATGGGGTGTGCAAGCAATTCTAGATACCTAGTAAAGTGCATTTGGAACATATTGCTTGGAGTTTCCTTATTCTGGGAAGGCACACTGGAACAACCACGTTTTCAAGCTCCTTCTAAAGACTGCCAGAGTTGGGGCATGCCTGATGTCCTTGGGGAGTGAGTTAACACTTCCATTGATTCTGCATTACCTTTGTGGCTCTCCACCAGCCGTGGAGCTTCCTATGCCAGACCGTCATCTGTCATGTTTGTTGATGTTAGACTCCACATGGTCAGGAAATTTGGGGAAGAGCAACTCCCTTGTTTTTTCTGGTTGCGCAAATGACCCATTCTGACATCAACAAATATGATTGAAAAGAAAAGATTGTGACTTCAGAAGGGACATATTGAGTCCCGGAGTGCATGGTTCCTCAATCCCTGCTTTCCACTGAATGGAAGCAGACTTTTTCAAACAGAGTACTTACTAGATGTACGAGGGTTGAATGAAAAGTAATGCCTCCACCTTCATAACTCCTCAAAAGATGGTAGTACTGGTATGTGGCTGGTACTGGCTTGTTCAGTAGACTCTTCTCTACAGTTCCATTTTGGCGGGAAGCCTTAGCATTGAACGGTTGTGTTGTTAAAGTGCAAAGTATGGAACCCTGTGCAGATGGTCGGTCAATGCGACTTAAGCAACGTGCAATCATTGAATTCTTGACAGCAGAAGGTGTCACCCCAAAGGAGATTCATCAGAGAATGCAAGCTGCTTATAGTGACTGTGTTGATGTGAGTACTGTGCATCGTTGGGCGAGTAAGTTTAAAGATGTTGAGGTGGGAACATCTGACTTGCCGTGACAAACAAAGAATTGGACATCCTGTGACAGCAAAAGTTTGATAGATTGATTCAGGATGATCGTCGTATCACTCAGAGAGAAATTTCAAGCATAATTGGCATTTCACAAGAACGTGTGGGTCACATTATTGCTTTGCTTGGCTATCGGAAGATCTGTGCACGATGGGTTGCGGAAACAGAGTGTCGACTTCTTCCGTGATGGCTTCAGAAAACTTGTTCATTATTGGCAGAAATGTATCCAATTGTCTGGTGATTATGTGGAAAAGTGAATAGTGGTAGTTAAAGAGCACATTCTAAGGATTATTTCTGCGTTTGATTTATTAAAATATTCCCATCCAAACCCAAGTAATGAAGGTGGAGGCATTACTTTTCATTCAACCCTCGTATATAAATATGCCAGGAATTTGAAGCTAGAACCATCTGCATTATGTCCAAACTGAGCTTCTACACTAAATCTAATCTAAGAAGACATTAATCCTGAGCTTTCCTGAGAAGCCAAAATGGCTAAACTCAGGCTATCATACTTTGGACATATTGCGCGATTATTCCCTGGAAAGGATGGTAATCTTGGGGAAAGCAGAAGGCAATCGGAAAAGAGGAAGAGTCTGTTACAGAGGGATTGACTCAACTGAGGAAGCTATAGCTTTGAATTGCAAAATCTGAGCAGGGATACTAATAGCAGAGTTTTTTGGAGGTCTCTCTTCACCGGGTCACTATAAATCAAAGTTGACTTGATGGCACATAACAACAACACCCAGCCAAGAAAATTGCATGGCCAGAACTCGCTTGATGGGTGTGAGAAACATTCTCCTGTTAAATCCCAAAGCTCGGCGTCTGCAGTCAATAATCGTTCCCAGGCACTTCCATGAAAACTGAGAGGGGTGAGGGAAATCTAGCAGCTACAATGGTTAATAAATGTGGTTTAGCCAGATTATTTTTCTTTAGAGTCTGAGCAAAACTCCCACCTTCTATAAGATGATTTGCTGCTTCTTCTGTTGCTTCCCATGTATTCATTTATTAAAGGATTACCAACTGGATAGAATAAAATGCAATGATTACTACCCAGACTCAACTGTGTGGTAGTAGCCACTTATTGCTCTGTTGAGAAAATACGGCAAAAAAGGCTCCAGCCTGTATCAAATTTGAGACATTGTCTTATCAATTGCAATTTGACCCATAAACCCATTTCAAACTAACTTTATAGGGAAAACCAGATTTTAAATCTGGTAAGGAATAGTTTTATGGTTTGTTTACGGATTGTTACCTTAAATAAGAAACTTGATGTTGATGGTCAGTTTTGCTTTTTTCAATTTTTCAGGAGCAGTTTAGACTACCTCTATACACCAAATCTGTTGCACCTCAGCAGGAGTTCACCTTGCTCACAGCACTCACCAGGAAACCAGACGTGGTAATAAACAGTTTATTGATTGAAACACATAGAAGAAAGGCACCTTAAGCAAGTAATAGGGTGGAAATCCAAATGTTAATATAGAAAGCAAGTCCCATAGGCAAAAGATAAATCCAAAAACAAGAGTTAAAACTTGAACATTAATCCAGAAAACAAGGAACAAAACAAGAGCACGAACCCATAGGTAA